GACAGTTGTTTGCCGTTTTGGAGGGCCCCCCCCCCCCCATCTACAGCAGCTCGCCTGTACTGACAGCCCTTCCTTTTAGCTCATTATCTGCCTGTGCAGCCAACTGAAAGTGTCAGGTATGAGGTAGATTTTCAATCTGAGCTCTTGGATTTGAATGAGGCGTACTGTCAAACTGTGGTCGCACACACAACAGATCCACTGTAGTTACCTCGATCAAGCTTCAACCAGCAGCACGCTGTTGAAAAATAACCACAGAAAATCTCTACTCGAGTGTGACTCACTGGCTGGTGATGAGTCACAACAGCGTTTGAGTTTATGCTGTGCAAATAAGTAAGAGTGTTGGAGCCTGATGCATCGGAAACAATTTAAAGTTTCATGAAAGTTGTGAGAATAGTTGGCACGTTATAGATCACCACTGAGTATCAGCCAGTATCACTACCAGTCCTATTTTTCTCTCTACCACTGTTTAGGGATTGTACTTCAAGTATTCTATAAATTTGTGGTACTAAGGAGTAATTCAGTGTTCGAGAGACCCCATCCCCTGGAACCTGTACTGTATACTGCACATTTTGCATCTTGTCCTTTTGCTTTTTGTGCAGTAAGAAGTTCCTCTAGTCATCTGCTACACTGCTGTTACTGTAAATTGTTATGGAGGAGATCAGAGTTCAGGACGAACTGCTTTCAATTTGATTTCATTCTTAGTAACTCATTTTGATTTGATTCTATTTTTGTTGATGCAGCTAAAATCTGATCTTCACTTCTAATTTCAACGAATGAGGAACACCGTGTAAAATTTCACAAAGTGCACATTACAGGTTAAATTGTAAAAGCGTTTCCTGATTAGAAAACTGTGGAACAAGGATTTATTTTCCTTGGCAACACAAAACATAATAATAAGCCTACATGTGCAAAACAAAAAAAAAAACCACATCAACAATCAACACCGAGTTGACAGGGCATCATGTGATATGTGCGAGCTATGGAATAGGTCTGCACATACCAATTATTCACATCACAATTTATGGGACAGTCATAACTCAAGGCAGCCAATGACACCAGCTCTCCTCTGTTACAGTTTAACTTCAAATACTATTTTTTTTATTTATGCAATAATAAGTAATTGTAAAAACTCTTTTTACAAGACACTTCTGACATGATGCAGCCCTGATTGAACCACTACATGAGCATAATGTTTAGTACAGATGTGCATGTCAGTGTTTGGATTTTATCAAATGGTAATTAAATCATTCAAATAAAAGTAATGATTAATCATAATAACCCTTTTTTAAAGTCCAGGCCCTATTGGCAGTCTATATATTACTGGGGTGGGGTGGATGGTTTACATTATATTTGAAATGTAAATGGGGATTCTGACCAACATAATACACTGGTTGCAGCGGAGCATCAGGTAAAATGAAGGCTGGGAGACGGACTATTGCTGCTGATTTCACCATCTGCCATCAGTGGACTTTCTGTGATTTGACAACAGACCGTTGTTTCAGCTTAATCCCCCCCTCTGCCTGCACAGGCTTTACAGAGATAGTGAGTGCTGTGTGTGTGTGTGTGTGTGTGTGTGCATGAAAGAGAGAGAGAGAGAGAGAGAGAGAGAGACAGAACACACTGGCTAGTGCTCCCTTTCTGACACAACTTCAAAGGGCTGTTTAAGGGTTACGACCAAGTTTTAGGGTTATTGTTAGAACCATGTTTAGGTTAGGCTTGGACTGCTCAGGCATTCAGATGTGATGGTTAGGGTAAGAGGCTGGGGAATGCATTATGCCAGTTGTACAAATGTATGTGTGTGCCTGAGTTTTGGCACCGCTACTGAAGAATGGGTTTAGGCTTGATAACAAATTCGGCACATTTTCAGCCAACAGTGCAGGGCAGCTCTACATCTAGCCTCTAACGCTCTCCACCTAACTCTAATTATACTGTATGAGATAAGTGCTCCAACAGCTGACGTTTGTGGTCAGGCTTCAGATGTACTAGTTATGTGCTTTAACCGGGTCTTGCTGTATTTATCTGCATTTCATCTTTACTGTGCTAGTAAAAATTCTAAGTTAAAATGGATTCACCAATGAACTGAGTGATTGTGTTAAATGAGACAGAATTTAACTGGATGTGACTGTATGCTTGATGACAGCATTTTCTTTGGATATTTACATTAAAATCATATTACTTCTGCACGGTATACCAGTAGACATAAACAAGTCTAACCAATAAAATTATCAAATGATCAGATGCTTACATGATGTAACATTGAGATTTTCACTTTGTCCTGTGTAGCATTACAAGGACCTCTTGTGCTAGACTCCTGCCATAACATCAATTATAATGGCAGTCGAGTTAGGGATATTACTATATAAACTCCATGGCCACTTTATTAGGTACACCTGTAAGATCTAATGCAATCCAATAAAACAACTCAGGCATAAATTCCACATTTACAAAGATGATAATGTTCAGTCAGACCAGTACACTAACTGTGGCTTCACATAGTTGCCTTAAAGCACATTGAGAGCCTCTGTACCTCTGCACAGTTCCTTGTGTGTTTAAACATACGTGGCCAATTAAAATGATTGACATAGTATAATATAGTCATATAGTATACCAAAGTATGTAGTTACAGTACAAAAACTTCTATTATAAGCTTTGAAAGTCAGAATATGTATCGGAGCTGTTATAGTGGATTGCATTAGATTATACAGGTAGACTTCATAAAGTGGCACAGCAGGGTAGATTGCACCAACTTCACCTAATCACAGGTGTTCTTATCACAAAAAAGTGGAAACTTAACAGACTGTCTCCACTAAACTGTAAAATAAATCCAGCTCCAGCTGACAGGTTTACCTTCCTCATACTGTTCCTCTTGGATGTAGGCCTCAGCTCTGTCCTTGAGCACATTAACATTCTCCGGGTTCGACTGGAGGACCTCGCTACACACTGAGATAGCTCTGCTAGCCTGCTGACCCTGGTCACAACACAGCAAAAACACAGTGGTCAGATATATTGTTTAATAAAAGCACAGAGTGAGTTAATACATCCTGTCACAGCAGTTTGGGGTCTTACCTGTGCCAGTGCATGGCAGATGCGCTCCTTGGCAAGGAGAGAGAAGTGGTGTACGTTGGGTTCAGTTTTCATCACTGCCTCGTATTTACTCACTGCGTCTTCATACCTAAAAGTGCAAGAGGTAGGTTCAGCGACACTGTGACACCAGCAGAACAGAAGGACGCAGTATGGTTCATTCCACCTGCCAACATCATGCAACTCTTTTATGACCTTAGTCTTATACACTGTAGGATATCCAAGCATCAGACATGGACATTCACATTAATATAGGATTTGCATTCCTGTTTGGAAGACCAGAAAGCTCGAACATATGGAAGCAATCGTTGTACAGCTGATGCAATCCCTGGTACAGTATTCAGAGGGCATTATTTTATATATACAAAGACTGACACTTGCTTAAAAACACACACAAACACACTTCTGCTCTTGGATGAGTTCTTCTGCAGACTTGATCTGTTTGTTGAGCTTCTTGACCTGCTTGTAATGGCTGTAACACTGCTTGTGATCAGGATCCAGCTTCAGGCACTCACGTACTTCACTGAAGGAGAGAGAAGATAAGAGTGGTTACAACAGGCACATTTTCCATGTTACCTGAGGCACTGAATATGCTATTTTTCCCAACCTACAGGCGGGTGGACGAATATAACAAGAACACCTTAAAACAACACACAACACTGCAGCATTAAAGACACTTTAGTGAAGCTCAAGCTCTTCACATTTCAAATATGTGGTCATTTCATTATAGTTGTGTAGTTTGCACTGTTAAATATTCCATTATGTGTTATGTAAGCAAGAACTGCTAAAGGTCATGATATTTAGAGGTGTCTATTATTTTTGTCCGCACCAGCTACATACATAAGAGGGTCAGAATATTAGGAACACCTCTGAATATAATGTAGTCCAGTACAACTCCACCTTTAACTATAGCCATAATAATAAACATATAATTTAATTGATACATTTATGACAATTTCACCAAAAAACAAACATTTTGAGCATCATAAACTCAGATGTTAAGGCAAAAGTGTTGCACTGACTTGCATACAATTGTACAGGTGTACCTAATAAATTGGCCATTGAGTGTACAGTATGCACTTGAATCACTTTGTTAAGAGCAACCCATAGTACTACACTCACAGAAATCTGATGTAAAGTGGATATATAGTGTAACTTAACAAATATACAACTTGATACATGTAATTCTGCTGTTTTGATTCTGAGAGAACCAGCTAAGTAACAATAAGAAGGTTCTTTCACAGTGACACTTACTTGAGGGACATTTCATGGTCTCCAAGGTTATAGTAGATGGTGCTGAGTTTGTAGAAAGCCTGGGTATTGTCACTCTTTAACTTGGATGCAACTTTGAGGTCACTGATGGCCTTCCCCATCTCTCCCATTTGAATGAAACACTCAGCTCGCATCTCACGAGAAGTCGCGTCCCAAACACAAGTCTGTAACAGGTGAGCAGTAACTCTTAAAATGTACAGCTGCTATAAAACTTCTCTGAACACTGCTGTGATGATGACAAACATAATATCAGGCTTGAGGAAAATGAGGCAATGCTGACAAGGCAGGTATCTGACCTCAATGACTGTGTCAAGCTGAGCGGCAGCGGTCAAATAGTCCCGGCTGCTGAAGCTGCTGCGTGCCTGAGCCACCAGTCGCTGAATTTCATCCGACTTTGTCAGCTGACTCTGGGCTTCCCTCTCTTCTTTGTCGCTGGGGTTGGACCTCAGCTAAAGATTGCAAGGCAAGATATTATAATCATGTATTTTTAGTCACAATTAAAAGACGTCTACCGGGAGAAAAGCTAGCATGACAAACGAAAACTGAAGCCAGGTTAGAGTGAGGAATATGAGGTGTGGCAGAACAAACTCAGTGTGCATAAGACGTTTTTCATTTTATCTGCCTATGTATTCCGAGTGCTCATATTCTATTGCCAACTTTGCTTCTTGATAGCACTGCCTATCACAGCAGTACTTACGTTCCCTAAGCCCATTACATTATAATCATTGTCTTAGAATTCATCATATTCACAAGAGCTATGTCAGCTAATGACACATCCTTTAAAAACAGGTTAGACCAGACCAGGTTACCCTTTAAGTGTTTCAAGCTGCTAGTTCAGCTTAGGGAGGAGCATAATGCATAAATATGATGCATTACACTAGGCCAATGTTGTAGACTGCTGAAGCAGCAAGACAGCATGCACTTTCTGGCCAGATCCCTTGACATTATACCAGCAAAATGGTGTCCATGTAAAACTGTTGAAGTCCAGATGCCTATGCTGGGCCTCTGCTGGGTGCTGGGGTTCCATTTTAAGAAGGGGGTATACTTTGGATAGTGACTCTTTAACTTGTATTTAAAGCACACAGACTTGAGCTATCGGTACGACATTACACTTATATTAGCCAACCAAGGTTTCACATAACAGTCTGTACAACAGTAATACAGGACGAACCACTGAACTTTAATCTATCTATAAGATCAATTTAATCACTGGTTTTATGCTTATTTAATAAAGAGGAGCTAATGTTAAAAACAAGCCTGTGGGGCTGCAGGTGGAATCTAAGAATAAATAGCAGCTATAACAAGGGCATTTATGTCTGCTGGGGGTGTTCTGAAACTTCAATGTAAAACGGTACTTCTAATGGAAAATGCATTAGCAAGTTCCAGTCTTAATCCTTAACGAGCACCTATAAATGATCCCCGAAGGCCCAAATGAGAGTTCACTGCCAATTATTATCTACATCTTGTAAGGTGGCTTATGGATGCAGGGTTTCCCTGCTTATACGTGTACAATGTGCATCATGTTTAACTTGTTACTTGGTTTCAAAGAGTTTCAAGTCAGTTTGATTCATCAATAACAAAACCTCTAATGTTGACAACTTTCAAGTATAACTGTGCAGTGCAATGAAAAAACAAGTTTCCACAATGCATAGAAAACATGCTTCACAATAATAAGGTAATTGTCTTTATTTTAAAACATAATGAAAACTCATTAAGCCTATAGTTCTCGTTCTTAACCAGGGTACAGACCAACACTGACACCTCCTGGTGAACTCTGCTTATTTGACAAAACGACAACCTCTCAGTCTTACTGCTGTAGACTACACTTACCACATTCTTGAAGTCACTCTCTGCTTCATCGAGTTTCCCCTGCTTCAGAAGGAGATTTCCTCTCTGAAGCCGTGCCTGTTGAGAGAAGGAAAGAGGGCTTGTTTTGCATACGTCTGCAAATACTGACTTGTCAATGCAGCTGGCATAGCTGACCTGTTCCCCAGCTATAAGATATAACCTATAAACCATATACATATACTATACACAGATATAGCTAGCCTAATTCTTATTATATGTGTAGATGTGTTTCTCACACTACTCTGTAAGACCTACAATGTACAGACGGGCGACAAATTAAAGGAAAAAAAAAACAACATAAAAGGGGATATTCACTAAACATGTCACAAATTACTGTCAGGTGCGTAAAATATTCTGTAACTGCAACATTTGCCAACACAAATGATGTAAAGCAGCAGCAGTGTTCATTTAAATAAATTCATCTAATGGTGCCTGTATTGCACACATGTGGAGATAAGATGCAGCATAGAAGAAAGCTTACTGCTACTTGAGCTCTGTTGGTTGAGGAGAGCAACAAATATATTTCTGAGATGAACTGCAATAACCTAGTCTTCTGCCAGCCAAATATTCTTTCATTTCATTCAGCAGTTGATGAACGGTATGACCTGAAAGCCTGTTCCAAGTCCCTCACATCCTCCCCTGGCATCTCAAAAAGAGATGTGATTTAGAAAACACCCTCTCCTTACTCAAATATGTTCTTAATGCTGATGAATAGCAGCTGCCATGCTGAAAGCTGTTCCGCAAATTTTAAACCTGCTTTTTCCTGAAATATCAGCTGCAGTTCTACTGGCCACAGCGGCCCGTCTGCAGTGCTAAATCAGGTACTGGGGCTATTTGTATAAATTTTCATTCTCGCTTCCCTTATTTTACATCCCTGAACGCCTTAAAATGCATATTGCATGAGACCAAGCAGGTTCCTATGGTGCTGCTGTTTTTTTATCTGTTGCAAAACCTTTGTAAGGTATCAGGCCACCATGTGCCGCCAGAACGGTTTCAGTGCACCTTGGCATTGCTTCTACAAAAGTCTTCAAACTCTACTGAAGGGATGGACATCATTCTTCATTTGGTGTTTTGATGATGGTAGTGGAAATTCTGTCTGACATACTGGTCCAAAATCCCCCATTAGGTGTTTAAATGGGTTGAGATCTGGTGACTGTGAAGGCCTTAATTTAATATATGATTCACACCATTTTCATGCTCATAAAAGCATTAAGTGACACCTCGTGTTCTGTGGATGGGGACTCTTGTCATCCTGGGAGAGACCACTCTCCATGTTTCATCACAGGAACAACTTTGTGCTAATTTGCAGTAACCTTTCCTCTAAGGGGATAAGTGGACCCAAACTGTGCAATGCAAATATTTTCCCCTGCATAACAGACCCACCAGATATCCTCACTGCTGGGGCCAATCGTTCAGGTTTTTCCCTTTAATTTGTCACCCATCTGTATATTTCTGGTACAACTGCAGTGTAACAAAACTGTATGTATCAATGTTAAAAAAAACACCAAATAAATAAACTCAGACCAACTGATACAAAAACATAAACTTACAAATGTGAAGTCTGGTTTGAGTTCAATGACTCTGCTCAAATCAGGCAGTGCAGACTTTGACTTCCCCATTGCTAAAAACACTGTAGCTCTCCTGTAGTAGGCCATGTAATTCTTGGGATCTCCGTCTGTTAACACAACATGAAGATATAACTGTGCACGTTTATACACATTCCTGTAAAACCAGAGTCAACATTAAAAGTCACTTACCCACAGCAGCATGGAAATGAGAGAGGGCATCGGCTAGCTGGCCAGCAGCGAGCAGTTTCTTCCCCATCTCCATGTGATTGTCTACGCTCCCATCCCTTCCACAGTTCACTCCTGAAAAACATATACAACAGAGAACATTTTATCACAGACAACTACAGTACTGTCTTTGTAACGTATTTACGCAAACACTGTCAGGCGACAGTGTGCAAGTTAGGCTAAAGTAAACACATTAAGTCAAGAGAGCTGACTTAAATTAAGTTTGCTAGCTAGCTAAAAGATGTACGGTAGCTTAGGTTAACCTACACAAAAACACCAGTGTTAACAAACATTACCAGAGAAGCGGATAAGCTAGTTTTTAATCAGCGGCAGGCTAAAAGAAACTGGTCACTACCCAGTTAGCAAATAATGGTTTTCCTCGATGACTGGTTAGCTAGCTTAAGGTTAGCCAATGGCTGCTTTAGATTTCGTTAACTACCCTTACTTTTGACTCTAAACGCAGGCTGTATGGACCACAACGTTAGTCAAAGTCCTTGCAAAAGTAAGTATGTTTACGAGTTAGTGGCTATCGTTAGTTAGCTTGTCTAGTAAAGTAAAGTTATAAGTTAGTCAGCTGCTTACCTTCATATCTCAAGTCCATCAAAACAAAAACATATGGGATGTAAGTCAGTATTTTATGTGCTGCATGTTCAATGGAAACCATGGTTTAATTTGAGTCCAACAAATCCTGTGTCGTTAAATGCCACAAACCCATGTTACGCTGTCACCAACAGTTCCATGTGCCCTGTCCCAGTTACAGCACAGCAGCAGACATACGCCAACCACCGGTCGTGGGTGGCTGTGATTGGCTGGACTACTTCAAAGCGCCCGCCCACCTCTGTTAGCTCAACAGAAAGCAGCCACGGCAGCATAAAGTGAGTGTGCGTGTTATGTGTGAGAGTACAAATTATAACTCGACTAGGATGTTTCTACATTTTTACTGCTTGCAAACCAATGATGGTAAGATGATGTCATAGGGTAGGACTGGATAAGTCTGACTTCTTCCTACTCCATTCAAGCATGTACTAGGTATAAGCAAATTGATACTGGATTATGTGTAAAATTATGTGTGTTGTCATATTAACTGTTTTTACATGCTTGAAAGAATAAATAAAAAATAAAACAATTTCTACATATATTTTGGGCGATCTGCACAAGGGCCGATTGAAGATTTATAGCTCTTGATTAGGCCTATATGTAGAGTACTTAAGTCCACCACAGTCATTTTAATGATGTTGTAGGTGCACCACATTTTGAGGGTTTATGAGCTGAAGATGAGGTCATACATGCACTGTAATTGTAAATTAAGCCATAATATTGAGGTTATGAACTATATAAAATATGCCTATTATATTTCCACTTGAAATGCAAATTAGATAACCCACAAAGTCCATGTTATGACAGTAACACCTCTTTCAGGAGGCCACTTTTTGATGCTTGAAGGTTTCCTCTGGACAAATGAAGCCCTGTAGTCTAATGTGAATCTATCTTATTGGAAAATATGGAAACCAGTTCATCAGATTCTCTATAAGATTTAGCCACATGAATGTTTGCTATAGAACACTGTTCTTAGAACATTACACTTAAGATGAACATATATGAACATCCTCATTTTTTTCTTCTCTTTGTCATGAGTTAAATTTCAAAACGTTTTATTGCAAATTTCAAAAACCTCTTACAATATGTAACAGTGGTTGATCAAAGCATGCAACTGTCAGTCAACATTTTAGTAGTATATTACTGAAAGACAGAGTGTAAATTATGCATCATGTTGAACATCGAGCCTACTTGCACACAGAAAACAGATCTTTTCGCGGCAGACATTTTACAGTTGGAAATTACAGGTGTGAATGATAAAATTGACCAAGGTGTATCTGGCTGTTTTGGTTCAGGGTCTGTTAATGTATTGCCACTAACACCTGTGCTTTTCCTGCTGTGAGAAATGCCCTTTTTATAAAGGATATTATTAAAGCTCACTGACTAAAATATGAAATTACTCTAAGAATAAAGACACCCAATTTTGTGAAGAACAAAAACACAGCAGATAATTCTTTTCCACCACTGAAGATAAGTCACACATATGCACTGGTAGCTATCCCCTTGGTGGTACTGGTGACCCTAGAGATGCTGCTAGCTCTGCTGTCACTGAAGGTCCGGGATTTTCTGCTCCCACTAATCTCAGTGTGAGCTGAAGACTCAAGGCTCTTTTGCCTTGAGACAACTGTGTAGACATCAGAGTACTCGTAGGCAGGATAGAGTTCTGGCCTGTGTAGTTGAAATTCAAGAAATGCATGGTTATTTTTTCCCTGTAGCTGGCGGGTGGAATTGATAGAGATGCAGGAAAACAATGATACAGTGGCAACATTTTACCCTGAATGGCAGCCTTCCCTCCCTGCAAAAATACTGTAAACAAGGCCTCCAGAAACCAGTAAGGAGGAGCCTCCCCAGCCGATAAAGACACCAACACCTATGTCAAACCTGGCAATTAATACAGAAATATTTCATCATGGTACAGTTCTTCCTTCTTCCCAGAATAATGTTGATAAATTGATAAACCTAGTTTGTTGTATTCTTCATCGATTGTACCTCTTATTTCTGAAGGTAGGGTCTCTAAAGCCTTCTGTAAGTGTGTTAGCAAAGTAGGAAAAAGCAACCATAGAACACATGCCTGAAACAATAAACACATATTTTTCAAATTATTAATCATATATTAAAATGTAACTTGTTTCAAATGTCTCTGTGTAACATCTTACCTCCAATAAGGAAGTTCATTCCCCCGGCAAATGTTACTCTTGCGTTAGCAATATCTGATCCCCCAATTTTAGTGCATTTCATTCCCACTAAGACCAGAACTGTTCCAAAGAAGGACAGGACAATGCAGGTGATGATGAGGGCACGGCACATGTGAATATCCCCTGTCCAAGAGTAGCAAAATCAATGTCCGTCACACACTATACACTGTGCAGATAAAAGTTTTTATACTCACTTGTTTTAATGATAGTCATGTCTCGTGCTGAAATTCATTTCACTTACAATTTAATGCGAGCAAAGATGGAATCTCCTTGCAGTCAGATACTCCAGTTGAATCGCTTACACAATCCTTCCACAAGTTGGAGAAGAAGCGTGGTGAGGTCAGGACTATTTTGCTAGCTTCAGACCAAGTCCAGCTCTCTATAGGCAATGTGGAACAGACCAGGACCCATCCAGACAAACAGACTACAAAGCAACCAATCTCAATGTACATTACCACATTCCTGTAAGCCATGCTTGCCTTGAAGTTGAATCACTAGTGAGAGAAAAGGCAAATCTAAGCAACAAGACAATCCCTTGAACACAAACTGTGGGACGCCTGTGTGGCCTGTACCATCTTTCCTCATCAAGTCCCTCCTCAGCAGCTGCATGCATGCAAATGGAAAAAAGGCTTACACACACACACACACACCAGAGGACAAATGTGGCTTGTGTACATCATCACATGTTTTGCCTTTGACCGTTTTTTCTGTGTTTTTCAAGGTCACTAAAGGTGTTTGTTGTTGGTACGCAGGAGCCTGCCAACATGGGCTCAGTTCTCTGTACCATCCAGCTCAAACATCTGATGGTATGTTAAAGGATAAAAACATGAACAAGGCAATGGCACATGGATGAAACTAGGCACATGATGTTCCTGGAGTGTAAAAGATTTTAAAATGGTAACACTATTTTATTACACACTGATGACGGTGACAGAAGAATAATACACTTGGAATTTTGCAAAAGGTTTAACCTAAAGATATACTGATACAAAATGATAAGGATTGTCATGAGTGATATCATTAAGTAATATACAGTATTCATCAAAGGGAATAACTGGAAATGCACAATGACCATTACAGGTACAATTTTTAAAAATTATATAACAGTCCAGTAACATTCTCAGTTGGAATATGTGCTTTAGTTATATCACAAATAAACAGTAAATATAAACATTATATTTCATACAGAGTAGCATTTGTTGTACAAAACCAAAACATGGTGAGGGGATGCGAATAACAACAAGAAAAAACTAAACAAACAAAAAATACAATAGGACATGGTGCTTAAGAAAAAGCTTAAGGTGTGAGCTGTGATGACTCTCAGTCAAAATTGGAGCTCCTAGGTCTTGTTGTGTTTGTCTTTTGGTGTTAAAATAAATGAATATTACACAAATGCATCTCTTTCTGAAAACTTAATTGGTGTTGTCAGGGATAAGTTAGATATCTGGGAGCTGCTGGATTGTTTTGGGCCTGTAGAGGATCTGTACTGCCTGGAGGGTTTGCTGTATGCAGTGTACAGGGTTCTTCCTCTGGAACGAGCGTTAATGTATATGCCTCTTTGAGAGGCATATATCACTTTACTGTAAGATCAGAACATTGACAATGTTAGTAAAGCAGTGTAACATTGGTAGCCAGATAAAAAGGATGATAGATGATTTAGATACCTTTCAGGGCAGATTACTTGGAAGACTGTCACGGCATAAAGCAAAGCCCCCACAAAGATGAATATACATGCCGCAAAACCTACAAATATGGGAGGTCCTACGTTATACCTAGAATTAAATGGAAGAAAAATGTCAAATAGGTAAACTCATCGCATTTTGTGTCAAATAAACGGTATACTGTACATTTCTACAATGTAAAGGATTAGTGTAATGGTATACATTTCTACAATGTAAAGGATTAGTGTGCTTTGATTACTGTCAAAAAAGCCCATAAAAAGACCAAAATAACTATAGAGTGCCGTATTAGTGAGTTCTAAAACTCAGAACAGAGCATTCTGCACTTCCAGCTCAGCCAGGGTTGAGGTTGCCTCGGTTCTGTACTGGAAACAAATTCCTTGTATGTGTAACATGCCTGGCAAAATAAAAGTGATTATCCTGATAATCCACATAAATTAAAAAAAAAAAAATTTAATGCTGAAGTTGTGGGACCGTGGTGTAGTTTAAACAAACTTTTTACTTCTGGTGATTACATTTGGGCTTCAAACATCATAAAAGTGGTGTTAAGTTGTTAAGATTGTCTTGCTGAACAAAACGGCTAAGTGTCATAAACTGTCGCTTATGACACTTATAACCTATCTTATTTTCCACAATAAAATAGCCTGTAGAGAAATCCCATTAGTTTTTCGTCGAGGGAATCAGGGTGATGCTAACTTCCGGTTTGGCCTACAAACATGCATCATAATTACGGCACTCTATAACAAGGTTTATCTGTGTATCCTCAGCATGATTTAACGCTGCCCAAAACAATTAAATAGTTATTTTGTCCACCCTCAAGAAACGTATCACTCAGGGCCTCAGGTGTGCTGAGAAGTTGAGGTGCTGTTAAACAAGAAGTTCATCTTGGTCTCGTCCATCTTGTAGTTCCTGCAGTATAATATACTCCAGATTGTCCCATTCATTGCAGCACATACACTTGACCTCGGCTGACATTACTAGGCACCACGGGTCTTCTGTAGCTTTAGCCTTGCTATCAGTTGATGGGGTGATGTTGGTTTCTGCTGGTGCACTCAGGTTCTCCCTCACTGCACAGCTCTCTTGTATTTACTGATAAATCTTTCATAGGTTTTGGACAACAATGGAGCTGTATAGCACAGACAAATAAGCTAAATCAAGTTCTGGGTACACAGACAACACTTGTGGTCTTTTCATGGGATTTGTTGATGATAACAAAAATATAGAAAATGCTTGTCTTATTTTACCTTTAAACTAAATAGTAATGTATAATATTATACTGTAACTGTACCGTAAGACTCCTGGACCTGCACTGAGAGCAAAGACTGTTCCATTGACCCTGCTGATGTATAAGGCGTACGCAGATATATCTGCCACACCTGGGTGCAGAGGTTTCATTGATACCAAGTAGTAATGGGGGCAAAACATTTCTGAGGAACTTTGTATGTTCTGTACTCACCACCAACAAAATGAAACACTGCTCCAGCAAGAAGCAGTTTGTTCTTGGCTTTATCAGTTCCACCAATATAAGTGCACTCCATCCCAACAAGGCAGAGAATTGCACCAAGTAATCCAAGCGTTAACCCAGTTAATAGCAATCCTCGCACACCATTGATGATATCTGAGAGAAATAAAAATAATTCAGGTATGATGAAGTTAGAAAGGATTCAACAGAAAAAGCTCAGTTTCCAGGACAGACTGATAGGAGGCTGATGTGAGAATGAAATCAAATCATATGGTCTTTAAAGGATGCCCAAAGGTAGGTTTGGGGAGTGGATATAGTAATATGCACAACTGTACAGTAAATACTGTCCTTTTAAACAGCCCCGCAACAATTAGCAACTTTGAAAAGCTTATAATAGTTCTCTCAGACTTTGTAAGAACTATTGCTAATAGAGTTTTGATGGGTATAAACTAGATGTTAAGAGTATGCTAAGTAAAACCTTTGCATGGTGTTTTTTGTAAACTGCAAGACAAGTTCTCTTGGGGCAAATTATGGTCAGTTGTCTAACATGAATTTGTTGAAAGCTGATTAAATAAAAGAATTAGAACACATACTTTACAATAATAGGATTTTGTTAAAAGCTGCATCTTCAGAAATGACAATAACACACAGTCTACACATAGTACACAAACCTTTGAATGAGTCTGTGTAAACTTTCTGACCACTATGGCTACAAGTGACAAAGATCAACTACAGTAAGTGAATCAGTAATGTTGTTTATGTAGCCATATCTAACCAAACAATCAAATGCTACTGGTCATAGCAGACCAAGTAAGGCTGTAGTAGTAAAATCCCTGAGTATATTGAAATTAGCAAGGATGCTTGTATAAGATCATTGTCATTGTGAATTCCTGTCCTGCGCTTGTGCCATGCTTTACCTGCTGATCTACTGCAAACCTTTAAAATCATTCAGTGTGGCAGACTAACAGAGAAAGTATTATAACCACTACTGCTGAAGTATGCTGTAAATTCGGTGCACCTACAGGTGACATTCCAAAGCGCTGGGAAATCTATACAGTTGGAGACAGATGTGGCGTCAGTCACACAGTCCTTCCACAGGTTGGACCAATACCACAACACCGTCATCATGGCGGAGCCTCCTTGGTTTCCAATCCGGGTCGTCTTCCAGCTGTCCATGGCTACGGTGCACAACACTAATACCCATCCCAGTGTTGAAGAGACAAAGCCAGATATTTGTATCAGACGTCTCCTCATGTCTGCTGTCACTCAGTTGAATTAGATCGTGTCCACTGAGGTGGATAGAAGCGCAAAGCAGACAACTTACACTTAACCTCAGTGATAAACAGCGTGGACATGATAGAATGACGGTGTGCCAGGTGCCATTACTGTTGATGGGGGCTCCGTACCACTGTGTGGTATATTTACTGTAAACTTTCTGGAGTGTGCCTTGCACTTTACACATCTCACATCACTTTTAGAAACCATTTCAGGTTTACATCCCTTTTAATATGTATGTACAGTAACAAATGCCTAAAAATGCGATTTATTTTTGTCCACCTCCCTAACATATTAAAGTCCCAGTAAGCTAACTGTGACTGTCACTAATCTTACCAAAACAAAGTATAAATCTGGCGGCCCTCTCCCGCCACCTCCACCACCCGAGAAACAGACATGAATGACATCATCTAATGACAAAACAAATATGACACAAAATAGAATCTGCTGACACTGTTTTATTTGAATCTTTAATTTTTATTTCTATTCATATTATATGCAAATAAAAACTATTAATCATTCACTACATATTTTGTTACTTACAGAGACAATGTGATGCAGCAAATGAAAGCATAGTTAATCATTATGTCATGCTGAACAAACAGTTTTAAATATTTCTGTTACAGATTAAAACCGCACAGGCACTTAAAGCTACAGCCAACAAAGCAAATGTCTTATAAAATACTTTATTACAATGTACAACTACTAATAATAGAAAATATGGATGAGACAGTATAACTTTTTCTTGATATGATTCTATTCATGATGTGGTGTGTACGATTAGATTCAATCACAATACCATTAAAAATCTTATGGCATCGATGTACTGTATGATTAGCGGCAGAATACTTGTACTTTATTTTGCTTTTTTCCTCTTTTCTAAATCTGATTATGTAAAGAACAGCCAGATATATGGACTTATGTTCTGTTAGGCTAGCTTATTTACAAAAAATATGAAGTCACTGGTGTATGGAGACCACACGATATACAGTATATCGCTAGACAAAACATATTGAGACTTTTTTGTATCGCAATGTATTGAATTTTGATATATTGTCCCGTCCCTAATAGAAAATGTTGCAGATATTAGATTTGAAAGGCCAAATGGACAACATGTTTTGGATTGTGCTGCTTAATTATACCGAACATCTGAACATTCAGTGTACAATGATATGTAGACATGTTACATGCATAAGTTGTCTAGTGGATAGAAAATCTAAAATCCTTAATATCAGAGTAAACTGTATCCTACGCCTTTAAATTCATACCCCTAAAGGAAATGTAAATATTATAAACAATCACTGGTGAGCCACAGATCAATGTCAGCAAATCCTGCTGTTTTTAGACACAAGCCAAGTGTCATACAATGGCCTCGCTTTTACACTTACTCTATATTTTAAGCCTCACCAGTTCCTTTAACTAAAAGTGTTTTATATTCATATCCTTCAAACGTATATGTTCTTATCAAAGTGCTGTGTCCTGGAGGAGTTGCTGCAGTCTGCAGTCGGCCTTGGGTTTACTGATTTTGCGTGCCCTCTTGGGTAAGGGGAGATATGAGAATGTGTGGCAGCACCTTTGTAGATATAGTTTTCCTGACTGTGGCTTTAAAGAGACAGAACAAAAATACATGTTTGTAAATCAAACACTTTCTATATAAGACTCAACAAAACTGATATATATGGCAAGTTTTTTGCAGCATGTATCTTCTGTAAAATATAAACATAGAATCTTTTACTTATACAAACCTTTTGGTAACAGAATCTCCAATGGAGAAGCAGAGCATACTACCTCCCAGAATGCACAGGATAGAACCTGCCCAGCCGATAAAGAGAGCAGCTCCCAGCTCATACCTAGTGACAAAGCGTAATGCTTTATGATAATGTAACTGGTCACATTCAAACATTTTAAGCACTGTGGCGTTCAGTCACATCAGTCTTACTTCTTGTCTATAAAAGTTGGGTCAAAAAACTCTGATGTTATCCGATGTGCATAGATGGAGCACGCTGAGAGTGAACAGAGGCCTCAGAAAAACAAAAAGGCAATAAAATTAGATGAACAGGAAATGCTGTTACACACAAATATTTCTACAGGTCCAGTATGCTTACCACTAAGAATGAAATCTACACCAGCAAAACATGTAATCCTGGCTTTGTTTTTGTCAGTTCCTCCAATTTTGGTGCATTTCAATCCAACAAGGGCAAATATAGAACCAAAAAACCCCAGAAAGACAGCTGTAATCATCAGTCCTCTGCAAGCTTGGATAATACCTGCAAACGTAAAACAGAGGTCAACTTATGTGCAATGAAAAGAGTTTTCTGTGCTATAATTCTATTCTGTGGTTTTGGTTCCCTCTCATATCTATACACCACAAAGTCACAGAGTTATTGACTTTGCATGTAATTTACACATAAAGCAAGAAATACAATTTATTACAAGTAACCATATGTGTTTTTAGCCACTTGTTGGTAGTGTGGTGGTCGCCTTGATATGAAAAGTCCCATTCAGATCTGATTGTGAGACAAATATTACCTTGCAAGTCAACCACTGAAACTAGTCAGCCGTACTGGAAACTGCCCGAGGTTCCAGTAAATCTCTCTGATAGCTTTCAAGCTCTCAGAACTAAGGCTAAACATTAACATATTTGAAGGCAAATTAGTTGTTCTTGGAGATTTGCTTTAGGGTATCTCTTAATCCCCACTCACCGTGAGTTCCAACTCGCATTTTTTTGCTGAATTTCCAGAGAAATTAAGCTTAAATTAGCACTAGTCTAAACATACAAAACTAAGCTAAAAGAAAAATGATATCGGACATCAGTGCACTTAAACTGTTAAAGCCAACAAGCCAACATGATTGAACTATACCATTAAAAAGGTTTAATAAAAGAAATGTGCATCCAACAAGAATGAAAAAGAGCGGACCATTCAGTGCCAGCATTGAGGGAAAATCTTTGCAGCTGGAGACTCCTGTTGAATCAGTGACACAGACTTTCCACAGATTGGCCCAATAGGTAGCTGTAGTAATGACGTCTCCATCATTTGAAGACACTTGCCAGTAGTCCGTTGGCAAGGTTGAGGACACCAGCACCCATCCCGTGGTGCTTATGATGAAGGCTATGATCTCTTGAAACATGTTGCTCATCCTGCAGAGAGGACTCCTCCACACCACCGAGGCTGGTAGTTATGTTGGTGGTACCTAAAATTGATTAATGCTTCTCTGTAGAGCAAAGCTTGTTGAAACTAGCTACACTCCACACTCTGCTCTGTAGGTTTGATGGATAAACTATGGTTGATAGTTAATTGTGTTGTGGACTGTAAGGAGGAGTTGTCCAGGGGTCTATTATAGCGTCATCCGCCCTTCACTGAGTACACGTCACTCTGATTCACAGCTTGAGGCAATGTGGACTGAGGAGATTGAAAGTTCTGGATGAACTTAACTGTTGTGAAGATGTCAGTAAAAATGTAAAAACATATAAGCAATTGTAGGCATGTACTGTACAATGTATGAGTAGATGTGTGTATTTTGTCTGGACTGTGACTTCATGTCTGAAATAATTTGATCAATAAGCAAAAGTAGTGATATCAAAATAGAAAAATACTTCATTAAAAGCTGGAGTTTTGCATTTAGTAGCAAAAGAAAATGCACTTTATGGATAAGCCACATGGTGTTAATGCATTATGTTGTAACTCTCCCTACTACTTTTGCTATTTTTCCGCTCTCTGTATAGATTTCTGTTAAAATCCTGGATTTATTGATGAGTCTGACATTTGACAGAGGCCACAGTACAGTGAATGTGATACTTTCTACCTGCCCTGGTATCTATGTTTAATACACAGCAGGAGCCGTTCAACCTCCTCATGGATCTACAGTAAGTGGCAGGATTTAGATCACTTATTAACAGCATGGCATTTTGATGCCCCAGAAACTAGAAGAAATAACATACATAGCATAGAAGGATACACAAAACCTGGGATCAGATGGAGCTGAAACTATCAAGGCACTTTATTGAAAGTTGTTTTACAAAATGAAGATGGTGTATTGTAAACTGATGGGATGAAGATTTGCTGTTTGACAAACTTATACAGAGGTTAAATGTATTATGTGTAATTTATTTTCCCTTTGTGACACTGAGTTCAGCTAAAACATTAAAAAAAAAACTAGCCATTGCAGACAAAATTTATACTGTATGTAGGTAATGATCCATCTAATGCCTAACAGCAAAGCTGAACTGTTTAGCATACAAATACTGTAGATAAGGAATATGGATAAAAACAGTAACAAGAGGAAGGCTTATACATATCCAATAATATTATAGACAATAAGAGGCAAACCCCTTCATAGATTACATATAATATGCGACAAAATTCATAACCTATCATTTGATTTGGAGTTCATTTTCTGTCTCTTGCTGGGCCATTACTGCTTAATGTCCTTGTTTACTTCACTGTGCATCTACAGTTTTACCTGTCAGCAATCCAAAACATGTCAACAATGGTCAAAAGATAATACTACAATATGCATCTTAGTACATACAGTATGTTCACACACAAGATATGTTACTAATATAACTGATCAATTATTTTATCATGAAGGTGTTTAACGCTTTCTGCACCTGACAAATGAATGAGGAGGAGGACGTCCAGGAGAGGCAGGGTATGAGCCCTATCCCTGGGACTCTCTCTCACTAACCCCCAGATAGTTTCTGACAAATGCCTATCCTCCATCTCCTCCCCTTCATCCTCTCAGCACTCCTTGATTGAGGAGCCAAAGCCACCCGCAGTGGTAGGTATGTATGAAACCTTCAGCTTCTTAAATAAATCGTCTTTTGTATAAGTAGCAACAAGCTGTTTTCTTCAAGCTTCAAGTTTACATAACTCCATAGCAGTCTCATGGTGGAAAACGCCTGCTGTGCATTTTTGCAGCCACTAGAGGGCAGACGATACTCACCTTTTCCCTGCTGCTCATTACAGCCTGATTAGAAGGTGTTGCTGGATGATTGACATTTCCACTGCTGTATCTGCAGGTAGTGCAACCGACAGAGCCAGAAAGCCGCCCAGAAAGAAACATCAGCCTATAAATGTATGTGAAATATTTCACGGCAGGTGCTAACCTCCTGGTCCTCATTTTTCACAATGCCCTAGCGCATGTGAGTTCATTTCTTCAGTTAATTTTGTATATCTATAGATTTTAGGAAAATACAGCACACAATTTATCTCAAGTGAATTTCATATAAAATTGAATTATTTAACAGTTGGTATTCAAAATAAAAAATGTGTGTGTGTGTGTGTTTATTGTTTATTTTCTGTGTTTTTAATGTTTAATTTAAAAGTTTATATTTTTTGTGTGTTGGCTTGTTTATATGTTTGTTTAGGTTACATTTGTTCTACAGGACTGGTGGCTGGTGAGATTTTGTTTGGTTTGCACCCTGTGAAAAAACATGGATTCCTTTAAAAAATGAGAATAGCAGGTTTTTTTTTTTTTTTTTGTTGCTAAACATGACATATTTTCTCAGGCTGGAAATGGTTGATCATTTAATAGGACACAAATGAACCGAGCTGTTTTTCTTGGCATTCTCTATCACTTGTTGAAACTGACCTTGTACTTCAGGATAGGAGGAATGTGTTTTTTTTATGGCGCCTTCATGTAGAAGTTTTTTTTCTTTGTTGTTTATTTGTCCTTGTGGATTTTTGTTTCTTTTGTGGCTGACTCGCAGGGCGTCTGAACGGAAGCACATCAATGTGACAGAGCCCCTCAATGGCAGCTTTCCTCGGCAGCTGGACCTTGACCTGTACCTAGGTGTTTACGCAGGTGAAACTCACTGAGTGCGCGTTGCTTTTTGTGTGCTGTTGAGGCTCTCAATACGCCAGCCATTCAGTGAACAGATCCACAGTTCTTTGGCTGTGGCCCAAGGCCTTCAAGGCCCAGTGTATGTGTACACGGGCCTCAGCTGTACAGGGAGATAGCAGTGCTTTTCTTGTATGCTGCTGTTGGATTGCTCTGATTGTCTGCCTGTGACTCTATGGTTTTTCACTCTTTCAGACTTTGTATCCACAGTGATAGAGCAGCATTCAAGACAAAATAAATAAATAATAGTAATAACTAAAGGAAGAACTAAAGTGGAGTATGTCTATCTGTTTTCTGTGTCATGCAGCATGCTTAATTAATAATGACATGGATAACAGTGTATTGTGCTTGTGTTGATGGATTTTATTTATTTATTTATTTATTTTTCCTGTGGATTTGTCAGGTTTATCAGTCATGTCTGGCTTCCTTCACAGCTTGGTTTTCTTTAACATCTTATTGAGATCAGCACAAACTACATACAAGCATGTTTAATGCCATCCTCTGGACCTGGATATGCTTTTTTGATATCAATCCAATTGGTAAGTGACTCACCTTAAAATTAAGTTTAAACATTTAAATAACTAATAACTTATTCACAGCACGGTCAAGGTTATACACGAATACTAAGATGGCTTATGAGCTGTCAGCAGCCAGTGAGTCCTGCTGTAGGAGCTGCTGTTCCAACATGTCACCACTAGAGGGCAGACTATTACCTAATTTGTCATTTATGAGTCCAGGTTACAAAACATCTAAATACTTGAACTTTATAGTTAATAAGAAGTTACCTAGTTATATATAAGACAGTATTTTTAAAGTTTTGACATTTTAAAAACTCCCATCAAAAATGTAATAACTTTTTAAAAACATTTTACATATTAACAAAATGTAAATGTTTATTTAATTTGTGCATAAATAAAATAACTGATAAGTATTAATCCAAATAACTAATATGAACAATAATATGGAGACTGTACGTTAAGTTGGACAATTTTTAAGATGGTTTGCTGTTTGTTTGTGGGATTTATGGGGTTTAATGCCTTTAAAAAGTTGTGATATTGTCCATAACGCATTTAAAATGAGTAAAGACAGTGCTATCTTTTTATTGTAAGCCCAAACAAAAATGCAGACAATTATATTGAATAATTCCTATTTGCACTGGATCTTGGACAGCACTGTGTTTGGAATATAGAGCTGTGTAAATACAGACATATTTATCTTGTGCGCTGTATCAGAAATCTTCGATTATATCATTAGCTTTATAGGCTGTAGCTGCTGGGTCAATGGAGTCGGCAGGTGGACATGATTTTAAAAGTGAGCAAACACTCCAAAATTGTCTGACTTTACTCAAGGAGTGTTACAGATGTTTCTTCAGACATGTTGTGCACCACCCTTTTAAACAGAAACCAGTAAACCTGAGAGCATAATTTAAAAATCACATGCAAAATGTTTTGTTTTTCTTGTTACTTTGTCTTTTTGATTGTATGATATTAATTAAAAACCTCTTTAATTAGGCAAAGTAATGTCACTACAACCTGTCATTAATATCCAAAGCCAACTGTCAAGTGGCCCACTTTGATAACTTTAATTTTTCTGGAGCATTGTTAACCTGTCAGCAGATAATTACTCAGGCTAATCTCTTCATAGTGACACGCATGTACAACACAATCAGCTCGGGTGGGAATTCTCAACAAGAAGGGAACTTGTATCTGTATAATGAGTCATAATAAGCTGGTAACACAAGTCTAAATATGATTTGAGGGTGTTCAGGAGCTTGCGGTTTCTGCTGGCATTAGAAGTGGGCGTAGCGACAGAGCTTTGTAAAAGTGTGTTTGCCGCAAACATCGCAGGTCTTAATCTTTGGCTTTTGTTTTTTTTTTCTGCTGCCGTCGTGTTACATATTGGACTACCTAACATCTTATCTGGGTGTGCCTTGCTTGATAATCTACACACAGGAGGAGAACAAACACTTTGAATAATGTAATAATCTGTTTAATAGCGTGGCAAAGGAGAGGTTTAACAGACACTGCTATCTGATTGCTGTTGTGCTGCTATCAGTAACCATTGTATGACCAGTCCAGTCATTACAGCTTGGCCTCCAGGCTGTAACAATACTGTGCATCTGACTGGACTCATAGACGGCTGTCCCAGACACAGTGATTCTTTTGTAGATTAAGCATGAACATGACCTTTTTGTCTTGATACAATATAAATAAGTTTGACATATGTACATTATTGTTTTTTCTTCTCCTGCTCTGTATTGTTAATGGATTTGTTCAAGAAAGTGAAACTGTATTAAATAAAAAAACCACCAGTACAAAGATGACTATCGTCAGCTCTGTTGGTTCATTCTTAATGTTTTTCTCCTGCCTGAAAGGTTTTTTCTTCACCTCCACCACAGCTGCTTCCACATCCTCTAGTAAGTTGCCATGAGTCTGAGTAATTTGTAACTGTGTGCCTATGAGTTGTTCAGGATTTGACAGCTGTTTACATGTGTAAGTGATAGGTGTGCCTCTGCTGCACAGGCCCAGTATTTGATAGCTGCTCTCAGAGCTAAAGGTTACCATTTTAAGCATCGCTGCACAAAGGTTTTAGTTGTTATTCTGTGAATGTGGTTCATAACAATAGAATACAGCAGTGGTGAATTACGATTGATGGAGAGATGTAGCTCTTCCGTATCAGCCACTGAATGGCTGTGCACAGTTTGGATCTTGTTTCTGTGTTATCGTTTGTGTTGAGTTGCTTTCCAAGTTGAGGCTGTTGGTGATTTAAAACCCTTATATTTTGTAACAGTACAGTTTGATATTATTAGCTAGCTAGATGCTGTTGATAACAGACTGTTGTCTTTTTCTAATATGTAAATTTATATAACTTAATGTATTCATGTTGCTCAATTTTAGTCTTATTACAGCTGTTCATCCAAATGTGATCCAGTTAGAGCAGCACAGACAGCAGTGGATGTGTTGAGCTGATGTTGATCCCTGTAATTTAGTGTCATTGAGTGGGCTAATCCCCTCAGAGACTGCAGGCCAGGGCTTCAGCTCATCAGCACAGCGAGGGAGTGGAGTTTCAGTCAACGCACGCACATGCACACACTTACGCTACTTCGTCCCCCTTTCACATCGGCATAGTGGGCCATCTCAGTGCTGGGTGTCTCTTGGTTGCTGTTGACACAGGGAACTTTGGATCTTCTGTAGTCAGTAATGTGAGATTCTAATTGTGTCTACTGAGGCAATGTTTTTAATGTCTGTATTTCAGGTCTGGGATGCAAGAGTGTTAGAGCAAAGTGGAGAAAGTACTGCAGAGAGGATGATGATATCGAAGTGTGTAAATTGAATGTGGAGATGGAGCTGTGTGTGTGTGCAGTATGGCTGATAGGGCTCCCCCTCGCTCGGCACTTCCACTATTTAATTGCATGAAAGGGAAGGAGAGGAGATTGCAGGAGCCTGGTGGTGTGAGCGAAGAGAATGGATTTAGAATGTATTAGTATTGGCAGCAAGGCGCCGGCGGTGGGAGGCTGCCCCAGGCCCCTGGTCCCTTCATGGAAGTGCAGGTGAGCTGTGCCACCTCCAGCCTTGGCAATCCCCTCCCCAGTATTCCTTCATTATCACACTTGCCTCACTGAAAGGCCCCTGCAACTGCACTGGGGCCCACACATGGAGCAGCTCTGAGTTGTCCCCTTATCTTGATGTTTACAGGGAACAGCGATTTGCCACACGCCCTGCTCTGGCTGGACTCCACTGTTCCACTTCTTTAAGTCTGATTGGGGGCCCTGCTCACCTAATATCTCCACCTAAGGGGCCACCTTAGTTGGGAAGGCTTGATATTTCCTGAGCCTGAAAAAGTGGTGCAAATCACCCCTGGAGTCTTAAACCATGAGAAATTGTTTGATACTAATGCTGCTGATATCCTGAAACATCTATACCTCTTTTTACACAATAGGTGATATTGTTGACAACCACCCATAGTGATTGAAGCCATTGTCCCATGCCGATCTTACCTCATAGGCATTTCCATGCAGTGAATGTCTTTGTGTAACTGCATCACTGTAATGTATCCCCTCTATAGTCTGCGCAGGATGGAAGGTCTTTACTTCATCCCCTCTGAAACTCTCTGTTAACTGAGCCGCTCGTCAAACAGCTGATAGCTCTCTGATGTTCTCTGCTCTAACACCCTCCAACCATGGTATGATGTAACTCAGAGAAACCTATCCTTTTCTTATTGGCATTGTTTGTCAGGTATGCATGGATTTGGGTCATCTAAGGCTTAGACAGTAAAATTACATAAAATTGTATTGGATCTTCCACAAATGCATTTTGACAAGTACTACTCCCCATTCCCAGACTAAAGCGGTGATATTCTTCACTGCTGTAGTAACAGCTGTACCCCCTTTGCGTGAGCCCTCCCCTCGGGATGTCTGTATGCTAAAGGGCCACTCACACTGTGAATAAGATTAGTCTGCCTCTAAGTGTACAACATGCTTATGCCACTTGACTTTGAATCAGTACTGATTTGGAGCATTGCTGGGTTGTTGCGGGGAATAATGCTCTGGCTGGGTTTATGCAATGGCTGTTATGGGGAGCCTGGCCTCGTCTGCATGCATGTTTTCAGACAGGAGCAGCATTTTGGATAAAGCTGTAAGCTGCTTACGGCTGTGGGAAGAGGTGATTACAGGGCCCACCTCCGTAGGACTGACTGGGAGGCAACTTTTAGGTCAGTGGTGCCACGGCTTCACCACGCCTTCAGAGTGCCATGCCACCACATTGTGCCAAGGTGCTGATCAGCCGTTCCCTCTCTTGGTCCTGAACCAAGATCCATCCTGTTTTGTGGCCTATTCTATGAGCCTAGACAAACCCATCTGCATGCTTGCGTGTGTTTACATATTATCTGGGGTTGTACCATAAATGTGTGAGTGCTGCATTGTTTGCACTCTCCTCAGACAGATATTATTGTTTGCTTAATGATCTGTCACTGTGGGAGACAGTGGGTTGCTTAAGTATAGTACAGTACATTATGACACCATTTCTGAAGCAGTATTCACACACAATATATATACACACTCATATTTTCTTTTAATTTGCAGAGTACCAGCCAAAGTAATGAGCACCTGAGCAGACTGGAGGCAACTCGGTTAACGTCACTGGCGTTGTCACTCAGAGTATAAAAGACAGGTACACAGCTTCTCTTGTCCTTTTGTTTTCAAACAAAAGGTTCTTTCACATATTCTGTTAAGAGTAGGGCAGGCTTTATGAAAGGCTAGACAAATAATGATTCATTGTTTAATCTAGATAGCTCTGTGTTTTTTCATCTGATATCACGCTCAATGCATATTCTCTGTTCAGATAAGTTGAAGGGGACTTTACCAACAGTTACTCAATAGTATAGTGAGATAGAAGGAAATTAACACAAACAAAATATTGGCCTTTATGGGCGCAGAGCTGAGGCGGATAAAGGATATCTTTATTTGACTTAGAGCTGTTCCTTGAATATCAGAATTTTACAAATGGCACAATTAACATCTTTATAACAAGTGAAACAAAATTCTGCTGTCAAGTGTGTGATTAATCTAATCTGCTCTATTTTGTTGCATTTGTTTAGGAAGAATCCTCAGCAGGTTCTTGAAAGACATCAGTTACCTGGACTCTTTGCTCTCATGGACATTTGTGGACTTTATCCAGGTGAGTCTCACCTCGGCAGGTTTGGTTGCTGGTGCTGCAGCATGGAGAGGCCATTTCATGCCTGGCTAACCCTGCTTTGTGGGCCGGGTCCCCTAATCTGGAAACAATTACTGTAGGATTACCCGCCAGCGCGGCCCAGCGCCTGCACAGATTTAATAAAAGTGTGCACATAGGCTGAGGGCGTGGCTCCCTCCATGTGGCACAACAGAAGCGGCATTTTCAGTGAATGTGTATGGAGACTAAGCAAGTGATTGGAAGAGAGAAAGGTACCAAAGAGGAAATAAAGGCTACAGGATGATGGGTCAGATGTGAAGGAATACAGTGGGGAGACGATGAGGAGGGCTGACGAGGATAATGCGTTGAGTGGCAAAGAGGAAAAAGTGTGAGCAGCAGACTTGCAACGTGTTTTGCAGGAGTGGACCTGGAGGTGTGGTAGCGTTAGAAGGAAGGGGGACAGGTCAGTTGGAACAGATCCAGACCGGGACTTGGCCTTCTTAATACAATTCACCTAATGCTCTACAGTCTCACAGGCCTGGTAGCCAAGGGCCACCCTGGTGCATAACCAGGTTAGATTACCAACTGCCACCCTGCCACCATGACAGGCATCTCCCACGAAAGCCTGCGGAGATGAACCAGCTCATGCACCTAGCGCCACAAAGAAGGGAATGTTTGCCGCACTATTCGAGGTAGAGGAGCAGGCGTGGCTCCTTGGTTAGGGCCAAAGAATACAACAAAGGCGTGCTGAAAATGAATCCCCCCTCCACAATGCCTGAGTGATGTTTGTGGCAGATACCCATCTCACAGTAGACAAAAGCCATCTTAAATGCTGAAAGCACAAAAGATCATACACACAAAAGGTTTTTGTCTACTAGAGTTCCCCTCATTTTGATAATAAGGTGAATAATGGCTGGAGTAAAATAATAACACTGTAGAAGGCCCATAAGGTCTACCTCCAAACAGTGAAAGTAGACTAGGTCATGACTGAAAACAGATTTGTGTTGCACCTGTGTACTCATTGGTATTAATATATGACTTATCCATTCCACTATATTACTTAAAACGTCTCTTATTAGGAAATAGAAGATACTATTTTAATTATGTTTCTGTATTGCAAGGAAAAATGATGAGACTAATTACAGAAGATTTGACACTTTATGAAATTAAAATATACTGTAGCATACACACATGGTCACTGTCAGTCTTTTTCTACCCAGAAAGTGGGAGGTGATTGTGATAGTGGACAAAGGTTGGGATCCTTTCTATCAAACCTTTTTTGTTTGTGCTGCTCTCTGCTCTTGTTTGCAGGTGTTTTTAATGGAGCAGTTTTTAATGCTTTGAGGAAGGAAGATTTTCACTCTTTTTATCAAAGCATTAGCCGCGCAGAAAAGCTGTTGATCCTGACTATTGTTGCTCATTCACGGAGGGACATTTCCCCATAGTCGGTGTTTAAATGGTTGTCTGGGGAAATAAAGTGAAACTTCATAAACAATGCCCTAACTGGTTTATCTCTCTGTATGGGGAGAGGCTGCTTCTGTGTGGGGATTTGCACCAGAGCCTCCCCCTTTATGGTGGAGTAAGCACTTCACAGCCCCTCAGAGCTGCCCCCACAGCCACCTAACAAGGGGATTCCCTCAAGCTGGGAGAGCCTAGTTACACCCCATAGCCCTATTTTTTTTCCACAGCTCTCATTTAGTAGTAATTTAGTATATTGGGAAAAAGTCTCTTTCTCTCCCCTCTCTCCCCCCTTGTCAATTAAAAACACCTCAGGCTTTTGGGACTGTCAGCTTTTGTGTGGACTTGACCTTTAAACCCTGAGTTGCCTCTATTTTCACAGAGGGGGCAGAGTAGGAGGGCAAGACAATACAGGGTGAGTACAGGGGTCTTTCAGTGGAGGATTTTGTGTCAAGGCTCTTGACCAAGTCATTCCACTAACTCTGGGTCCATAGCTACATTCATGGCTCTTCTTAACCATCTATGTAGATTCAGTTTGTCAGGCTGCTTCTGCTGAGATGACTGACATTTGCTTTCATTTAAATGTGACTTTGCCTGATTTTCACCCATGTTAGTGTCATGTAAACATGCAAAAATGTTTGCACATAAATCATAAATAAGAGAGAAAATAGCTGTGTGAGAGGGAAAAAGTGCTAATGCAGGCGTACACACACACACACACACACACACACACACACACACACACACACAAACCCAGCACAGAAGACACCTACAGACACAGAGCAAATGTGGTCATTATCTAAAAACACTGGCGGGTGAATCGTTGTGTGAGTCTGTATACTGTAGCACAATGTGTTTCAGGCCTCTTCAGTTGCTTTGTGGGATATGAGAACTGCTGACGTAACTGTGAGCACTGTAGGATGGGATTTCACTAGCTTTCTCTGCTTCTTTACCACACTGGTGACAGAAGAAGTGAAGAATGCACTGGCTCCGGGCGTTACACGGGTTAGCCTGAGAAACACGGAGATGGTCCTGTGTGGGAATATAGAGGATGTGCCATAAATCCTATTTGACCATTGTTTTATGACAGTGCAATTGTCTTCCTGCACAAGATGAAAAATTACAAGTGACACACAATGGTGAACTATCCTGTAGGTTTTGTTCCCCTATTTGCAAAAATGCAAGATCACAGGAAAAGAGTACTTTGTATATGTGTGTGTGTGCTTAACTGGCCGTGCATGATCATTTGATGGCGAGCAAAAGCTTCCAGAGTGTGTACAGTATGTGAGGTCTACCACGACGCTGCGGTCCAGCTCCTCAGCTGCTCTGACTCAGACACACCGATCAGACCCAGGGTGAGTCTGGGAACTTGCATAACAAAGTCTCATCTAGAATCTTGCTTCATGTCATTATGATGAAGATAAAGATGTTTGTGCTCTTTTTGAGTGACTTTTATATGTGTACATTACTGTTTGTTTTTGCATATTTAAAAAAAAAATTGTTGTGTTGTTACCAAGAGGAAGACAAAGGAAGCAATGAGTGAATGAATGAATTTGCTGGACTAAAGAGAAAGAGAGAGAGTAAGAGAGACCGTGTTTCAAAACCTTTCTCTTATTTCCAAAATGGGGTTGGAAATCAGCAGCTTGACTGAGCCCAAATAAGTGACTTCTTTTACCTTTTCACAGCACACAAAGGCCTAATCCCAGGACTACTTGAGCCACCAATGTAGACAGCGACTGAGACCACCACAGTATGTGTCAGACCCTCCTCACCACACACAAAACACATTCACTGCAGCTTTATGAAGTGAAAATGGCCCAGAAAGGGAAAATGTGAAGGAGGTGTCCACAGTCATTCCTCTCAAAGAAAAGCCACAGCATCTGGGCATTTATTGCTAAAATAAAGCCCAAAGACAGAGCTGAATAGCTTGGGTCACTTTTATTGTTCCAGAGCCAAAGTGGTAGCAACAACACAACACTTTTATTGTTCCAGAGCCAAAGTGGAACAGCCCTGTTTTGTTTCAATACCACTGACCCTTGCAACTTATAGTGACGCTCTGTCACAGAAAGTGTGGGGTAAAAAAAAAAAAAAAAAAAAAAAAAAATCCAGCAATGACAGAGGACTTCTTTGAGGAATTTTCTCTTCCCTTCATTTTCCTCACTTCCTGTTTTGTTTGCACATTTTTTTCCCAGTGGCAAATGTTGCACACTGTCAGTAAATAAAGGGAGGATGAAAAAGAGGTTGTAAAAAGCACACTGATTCCTTGTGTCCAGAGGGATGTTTAATTAAAGGGAAGTGTTTATGTTCTGCTGCAGAACAACAGTTGCTATCATTGCTGAACACAAATATAGCAATTAACTTCAATTTTCTACATTTATTTGGACATCAAAGAGCTGATAGAATCATGGAGAAAATCAAGCAATTAGGGTCAACAGAGATCTGAATGGTCTGTGGACACAGCGGTGTGCCCACTTTGCTTGAATGACTCAACCGCATGCGTGCGGTAGCTTTCTTTTCTTGCTAAAGAGCAATTAGCAGTAATTCTTTATTTAAACTGTTTGTATACAAAACCTTTCATCCTTTTATCCACTTTTATGTGCAGTGGGATGTGGCTTTGGGAGTTTTCTGTTCCTGTGTGGCTTCATGGGAGATATGGATGTGGTGTATGCTTGTAGAATCACTTGTCGCACTCATCTGTGTGTAGTGTGGGTGGGGGCCACGGTGTTCCCGATGCTGACATGATAAGCGGCAGACCACGCAAACGGATCACATCAAACAGGGCCTTTGGCGACAGCTGGCCCTAGGGAGCAGGAGGAGGAAGGCTCTTATCTACTGGTTCCTGTTCCTCCTCCATCTCCTCAGATGACCTCGCCGTGAGTTAAGCCGGCCTGGCTCAGACCTTTGCCGCTCCGACCTGAAATGGGCCCAATTAGAATTCAAATGAACCAACCACCAAAGATGAATGAGCGGTGTCGCTGTGTCGCCAGTCAGCAGCAGGAGAGTGAAAAAAGAAAAAGAATATATATGATAAGACAGTTCATATTTGATCTTAACAAGGGAAGGCTGAATAACATGCATTAATGGCCCATGTCCCACCATCTCACTTTGCAGTCTGGTAGCCTTCCGTCAAGGCTAAGATTGAAACTTATGTACTGTGAAATTCTTGTGATCAGTTGTGCTCAGTAGCTTCCACTCACTGTTTGATTGTGTGGGCTCCACTATGGCATTGGTTAGACTAGTAATACCCTCTTATCTGAACTGCAAATGGAATTGAGTGGCTTTTCATCATAAAACTACACTGAAAGTGATCATGCTTAAATGTGTGCTTACAGTAAGTGTCAGATAACATCCATAATTAAGGTGCTAAATTAAATTTTCATCTCTCTGGGCTAGTCTGAGACCACTGAAGGTAACAGTACGATCCTAATCTCCATGTCTTAGGATTCATCTCTCACGATGTGTCTAATTTCAGGGTGTGAGGTTTCAATTTTATCATCTACTGTACCAATTGAATATGAAATATGTAACTCAGTATACCTTTCAGTTAA